GCCTCCCACGACTCACATGGTTCTCTCTTTAAAATTTTGAAATTTTAAAATTTTTAGATAGAGAAACCATCTTAAAAATTTTTAGAAAGGAAAATGATCTCAAATTTCAAGTTTTCAGAGAAACTATCTCAAAATTTTTAACAAAAGAAACCCTCACAAAATTTTTAAAGAGAAAAACTATCTCAAAATTTATAAAAAAAGAAACTATCTCAAATTCAAGTTATATCAAGAATTTTAGATAAATAAGCTATATCAAATTTTTAAATAGAGAATCGTTGGTGTATAGATAATGGGAATTTTCATCCAACATAAAACTATTTCCTTCAATAAGGGATTGTTGAACAAATAAATAAAATTAGGTTAATTGTGTTACTTAAAAATCATTGGGGGCTACAGCTACATATTGCTATATAAGGGGTCCACATAATGGATAAAGTTTATCTAAGGTTGCAACCTTAAAATGTAGAATCAAAGATGTACCTCAAAAATCCATCATAAAAGGTTGTTAGGATGTTGGAAAACCCTCTAATTGATCATATCGACATTGAGATTTATGAATATGGAAAGAGAAAAAGATTTTGAGTCCACAAAATAGTGTATCTTGCAGCACATTGTTTGGACTATCCATTTTCAAGATTTTCATGTGTTTTTAGATCTACTTGATTTCAACCATTTTTAGAGTTTAAAAATTTATAATTAGATATGAAAATAGATTCTCAAGTCATCCTAAGAATTTTTTATATCAAAACTGCATTTGTTATAAAATTTAGAGATGCACCTTATTTCGATTGTTTAAAATTGCAACCTTATGCAAACAACACCCATATACAATTTCCCCAATAAAAATTTTAACTTTTTAATGATTGAATTGACGGTAAATACAAGTTTGAAAAGGAAAACTGCATGCTGTTTTCAATATACAACGCCCATTAAAAAAGCTAGGAAAAGCAATCTTTTCAATCCAAAATTATGGGATTAAGAGGGTCTCACTTGGGTATCTTATGGGTTTTCTTTATAAAAAAAAAGGGAAAAATATGAAGAGAAAATAGATGCTACAGGAAAAAAATTAGTTTCTTGTAGTGGGTATTTTATATACTGAGAAACTATGTTTTATGGCTTATAAGCGAGGACACATAAATGTTTACATTCTCCATACTCGCATGAAGTTTGTCTTAATAAAAGAAGAGAAAGCTTTTTATGTTTTTTTTAGAACATAGAAGTTCCTTTCCCTTATCCAACCGTCCATTTTTGAATGGAGGGTTAAGATTGTCCCAATCACAATGTCACGTCGGTAAACTATTTTATTTTGAATTTTTTTCTATAATCTATTTTGACACCAAATTTTGGACGTCCATTCTTCTATTAAATTCGCACTAATGAAAAATATAAAAAATATTTTAAATGAAATAAAATAACCAAAATACCCGTCAACGTTTCAATTGATCATCTTGACTTCGAGATGTATTGATAT